TATTCTGAAGTGACCAGAATGATTTAGAACTCTTCGAAACTATCCCGATTAATATTAGAACTATTCTGAAGTGACCAGAATGAATTGGAACTCTTCGAAACTATCCCGATTAATTTTAGAACTATTCTGAAGTGACCAGAATGAATTGGAACTCTTCGAAACTATCCCGATTAATTTTAGAACTATTCTGAAGTGACCAGAATGAATTAGAACTCTTCGAAACTATCCCGATTAATTTTAGAACTATTCTAAACTGACCAGAATGAATTAGAACTGTTCGAAACTATCCCGATTAATTTTAGAACTATTCTAAACTGACCAGAATGAATTAGAACTCTTCGAAACTAACCCGATTAATTTTAGAACTATTCTGAAGTGACCAGAATGAATTGGAACTCTTCGAAACTATCCCGATTAATATTGGAACTATTCTGAAGTGACCAGAATAAATTAGAACTTCGAAACTATCCCGATTAATATTAGAACTATTCTGAAGTAACCAGAATGAATTGGAACTCTTCGAAACTATCCCGATTAATATTGGAACTATTCTAAACTGACCAGAATGAATTAGAACTGTTCGAAACTATCCCGATTAATTTTAGAACTATTCTAAACTGACCAGAATGAATTAGAACTCTTCGAAACTAACCCGATTAATATTAGAACTATTCTGAAGTGACCAGAATGAATTGGAACTCTTCGAAACTATCCCGATTAATATTGGAACTATTCTGAAGTTACCAGAATAAATTAGAACTTCGAAACTATCCCGATTAATTTTAGAACTATTCTGAAGTGACCAGAATGAATTGGAACTCTTCGAAACTATCCCGATTAATTTTAGAACTATTCTGAAGTGACCAGAATGAATTAGAACTCTTCGAAACTATCCCGATTAATTTTAGAACTATTCTGAAGTGACCAGAATGATTTAGAACTCTTCGAAACTATGCCGATTAATTTTAGAACTATTCTGAGGTGACCAGAATGATTTAGAACTCTTCGAAACTATCCCGATTAATATTAGAACTATTCTGAAGTGACCAGAATGAATTGGAACTCTTCGAAACTATCCCGATTAATTTTAGAACTATTCTGAAGTGACCAGAATGAATTGGAACTCTTCGAAACTATCCCGATTAATATTGGAACTATTCTGAAGTGACCAGAATGAATTAGAACTCTTCGAAACTATCCCGATTAATATTAGAACTATTCTGAAGTAACCAGAATGAATTGGAACTCTTCGAAACTATCCCGATTAATTTTAGAACTATTCTGAAGTGACCAGAATGAATTGGAACTCTTCGAAACTATCCCGATTAATTTTAGAACTATTCTGAAGTGACCAGAATGAATTAGAACTCTTCGAAACTATCCCGATTAATTTTAGAACTATTCTGAAGTGACCAGAATGATTTAGAACTCTTCGAAACTATGCCGATTAATTTTAGAACTATTCTGAGGTGACCAGAATGATTTAGAACTCTTCGAAACTATCCCGATTAATATTAGAACTATTCTGAAGTGACCAGAATGAATTGGAACTCTTCGAAACTATCCCGATTAATTTTAGAACTATTCTGAAGTGACCAGAATGAATTGGAACTCTTCGAAACTATCCCGATTAATTTTAGAACTATTCTGAAGTGACCAGAATGATTTAGAACTCTTCGAAACTATCCCGATTAATATTAGAACTATTCTGAAGTGACCAGAATGAATTGGAACTCTTCCTAGTCACAGAGGCAGGGGATGAATGGATCGAAATTGAAGAAATAATAAATAAAGACTTCCAGAAGGAAGTATACGTGAGGACAAAAATCGGCTGGGGAAACCCATCAGATATAGAAGAGGACTAGGACATAGCTATTATCTACGACCCCAGACAGGAGGAACATCAGTTTAAAATAATGAATAAATCATATGTATCAGAAGTGATAAGCAAACATTGCGTTAAGGAAGGAAACATTGCGAGTATGGTTAGTAAGAGAACGTTAACAATAGAAGGTGAAAACTGTCTGGAGATAGCGAAAGATAGGAACACGTATTTCATGCCAGTCGATACGACGGAACAATTGGAGCACAAAATATTTAAGTCCTGTACTAATCTAAGGAAACTCATGGAAAGAAATGGCAGGGGAAGAGTATCAGTCATCATGGACAAGCAGCTCATAAATGACGAAACAAGGAATTTAATAGAGGTAGCGCTGATAGAAACAGGTATAACAGCGACCATGTACGAGATGGGCACGCTAGTGCGAAATGAGGAGGGGTGGAACCTAGTTGAAAGGAAACCGAAAAGGGAATATAATATGCCGGCACTTCTAGTAGAAGCAAAAGGACGACAATACGCGGATATAGTTAGGGAACTAAAAGGAAAGGTTAGTGCACAGGAGGTAGGAAACGAAGTACAGGATTTAAGGAAAACAAGGAGTGGGGATCTACTGATAACCCTGAATAAGGGGGCGAACGTAGATAATATGAAAAAGATGCTGAAAACAAAGCTAACAGATCAATCCATAGTGGAACCTGGAAAAAGAAAAAGTACGATATATATAAGCGATCTGGATGCGGTAATCACAAACGAAGAAATTTCCGCCGCATGGAAAAAGAAATAGGAAGGGAGACATTCGAAGTTGTGGCGCTGAGGAATGTGGCCGGCGGGAGGCAAAACGCCACAGTAGCCATCGATCCGGAATCTGCAAAAAGGCTAGTGGAACTGGGCTCAATCAAAGTAGGGTATACCAGCTGCAGAATCAGGGGAAAAATCCAGTTCGAAAAGTGTTATAGGTGCTGGAAAATGGGACAAAAGGCCGACGAGTGCAGAGGACCTAATAGAGCAAGTGGGAATAGATGTAGGAAATGTGGCAGAGAAGATCATAACTCACGGGAATGTAAAAACGACTGGGATTATTGCTGGACATGTGAGGAGGAGGGGCACAGGAGTGGAACGGCGGGATGCCCTAAATATAGAAGAGCCAGATCTCAATAAGCATAAAATTTTAACTAACCACCATCGTAATGAGATTTCTACAATGCAACTTGGGTAGAGGAAGATATGCGCACGATATTGCCTATGAAATAGCGTTAGGAAAAGGTGTTGATGTCCTCATAGTGTCGGAACCAAACAAAAAAACTAATCGAGAAATCAGGATGGCTAGGAGACCTTAGGAGTGATGTAGCGATGTACGTCATAAATAAAAACTGTGGGATTGTGAATGTTTCTAGAGCAGTGGGTTATATTATAGTCGAATTTAAACTAGTTATGGTCATATGCTGTTATATATCGCCGAACATCGCTATAAATGAATACAAAAAGATGGTGGATAGCATTATGGAACATACGGGGCGCCTAAAGAAGAAAAAACTAATTATTGCCGGAGATATAAATTCCAAGGCTATAGATTGGGGATCCCCAGGAACCGACACAAGAGGGATATATTGGACCGAGATGATGGCGTCACGGGACATAGAGGTGTTGAATACCGGAGAACCAACCTTCATTAGGGGAAACACAAAATCGCACATCGACGTGACCTGCTGCTCCAGTAACATGAGAAGCCATATTTCGAACTGGCAAATACTTGACGAGCAAACTTTTACAAACCACAGACACATTCTCTTCGAGGTCTCTGACAAAATAACCGGAACTAGAGGACACCAACAACAAAAATGTCAATAAAACGTGAACAAATTTGGGGAATTACTAGCTGCAAATGACCTGAAGGCCCAATCTCCAGAGGAACTGACCAGGGAAATCACGCGCCATATGAATTCCTGCAAGTCCAATAACAGGAACAAATACAGATTGACTCCATATTGGTGGACTAACGAAATAAGATCGGCCAAGGAAGAATGCGTCAAAATTAGAAGAACGATTACGAGAAGGTTGCGGCTCAATGCCTCTGCTGGAGGAGAACAAAGAAGATCTAAAAGCTAAGAGGAAAAAACTTAAACGTCTAATAAAAGAAAGCAAGAAACGCTGCTGGATGAAGATCTGCGATGATCTGGAGGACGACGTATGGGGTCAGGGCTACTCAATTGTAACAAGGGCTATGAGACCTACGCTGCCGTACTGTCTCTCAATAGATGAAAAAGAGAAGATAGCCAATGAATTATTCATCGAGAAGAAAGATGACTGGGAGAGATTGAAACCTTTCGAAGTAGCCCCACCATTTACAGTCCTAGAGTTGGAGTCCGTAAAAGATCAGATTAAGAAAGGCACAGCGCCTGGCATAGATGGGATAACTCCGGAGATTGTTGCTAAAACAATCTAACAACAACCAAAGGTCGTTCTGGCGGTGCTCAATAGACTACTGGAAACACAAAAGTTTCCCAAGGAATGGAAGGCAGCTAAGTTAATACTAATACCAAAGGCTGGGAAGCAGAGCGCGGCATACCGCCCTATCTGTCTTCTAAATACTTTTGGAAAAGTGTACGAAGCCCTGATTAAAAACAGAATTGAAGAATCCATTGGTCCAGAGGGTCTATCGGACAGACAATTTGGGTTTCGTAGGGGTAAGTCGACCATAGGGTGCCCATACTTACCGTACAATAAAACGCTGAGCCCGCAGTCCTGTGTGGACGAACCGCCAAATCCTATCTCCACCTCCTCGTGGTGGTCCCTGGTAATGCGCGGCGTGCTGTGAAGTACGTCTCGTAGCTAACGGAGAAGGGTGATCGGCGAATCTCTGGCGCGCAATCTGGAGCACATGGGCTATGGGAAGGAAAACCTGAAAGATACCAAACGAAGATTAATATGTGGAGTGATAAGACTGAGGAGAATTTACGGGACAGGGAATTCGGAATCCCAGAACCGGTCGGTGAGGGCAGTGAGCGAGCGGGCTCCCCCCGACCGTCAACATGCGACCGCTCGGAATCTCTGATGGGGAGACAGGTCAGAGAGTCTGGAAATGCTACTGTCGAACAACAGGAACCAGTAAGTGGGAGTGGGGAGGAATCAGATAGGAGTAAGGAATCCGCAATGATGGCAGGATGGTTATCGCAGGACATCAGTATAAGAAGAAACTCTCTTAGAAGGTCGCCTGTTTGTGTAGAAAAAACGAAGGGAGATAGAGGGGAAACCCCTACAAGGAAGTTAAATGAAAAGGAAAAGGAGGCTATAATTATGCAGGATAGTGAGGAGAGTACGAACCTGCAGGAGAAGGTGGGATCGGCTGGTAAACGGAAAAAGTCGGAAATGGATTCCCCTCCGGAAAGCGGAGACCGAGCAAAAAGGGAAAAGTCGGATGAGGAGATGATGATCAAGTCCATGCTGAGAGTAATGAAGACCGCGAAAAGGCTAAAAGAAATGATCGCCAAAACAACAAACACGAGAGGGGACATTAGACAGGCAAGTAAAGATCTGGACTACCACGTGGACAAACTAAGCGTTGATCTGGAAGGTTGGCAGACAAATAAAAGAGTGTCGCCTAGGAAACCGGTTGAGAGGAAAGAGATAGGAACGCAGACAGAGGAGGAGTACAAGGACACAAGGGAAATCGGGATACAGGCATGTACTGAAATGGTAAATCTAGAGGATATCATTAATAGGAATCAGAACTTTAACGAGGTAGAAATGGTGCTGGAACAAAGTTGGCCTGAGGAGATTTATCATCGGACCAAAGAAGTGGTGGATTTCCCGATTCGTGCTACGGATAGGGGATGGGACTTGGCGGTATTGATTGATCCAAAGGTCAAGGATAAAGGATTAGGAAAGATATTAAGGGATCGTAACCCAGAAGCGTGGGAATTAATCGAACCAAATGCAGAGGAGATGAAATATCTAGCAACGACGTCAAAAACAACTACATATGATGGAAAAATAATTGAGAATACAAAACATGTGTATATACTACCATATAGGGGTGAAGAAGATCCAGACAAATATAAGGCGATGTATGAAATGATGGCATATCTTAGAGATAGGATAGAAGAGACGGGCAGGAATAACCTAGTGTTCGCAGCAGCAGAAGGCATCAACAGAGACTTATGCCGAAAGATCCTTGAATGTACCTTTAGGAAAACGAGCATAAACATAGAATGTAGGGTGCCAAGTAGGAGTAGTCAAGAAGTTCGGGAAAGGGAAAGGGATAGACCAGAACGCAAGCATAGTGTTCTAACTGTCAAAGGTAATGGGGAAACGTACGCTGATTTACTAAAAAAGGTCAAAGAAAAAATCGATATTAAGAAGATGGAAATCAACGTCAAAAAGGTACGGAGGACAGGAAATGATGACCTTCAAATTCTATTGGAGGAAGGGAAAGAAAAAACTAGGTTGCTGAAGGACGAAATAGAGGCGTACTGTAATATTAAGAAGGTGTCGACTAGAACAAACGGTAAACTGTTATACATATTAGGAATGGAAGAAACCACAAATGAGGAAGACGTCACAAAGGCACTCACGGATGCACTAGGAATTGATAAGGAGGAAATGGAAATAGTAGCGATTAGGCCAGCAAAAAACAAGGAGAAAACAGGAGTGATTGTGATTTCAAGGGCAGCAGCAAACACGCTAACGAACATGGGCTATATAGAAATTGGATGGACAAAATGCTCGGTAAGGGAAAAAATCGAAATTGTCCGATGTTTTAAGTGCTTAGAACATGGGCATAAGACCAGGGAATGTAAGCTAGAAGGAAAACGATTAGACTTATGCTTAAACTGTGGCGAAGAAGGTCACTTATCGAAGGAATGTACAAACGGGATGTTATTTAGAAAAAAATAAAGGAAAAGATAAAGAAAAAAAGACCCCAAACATCACAGTAATCGATTTAGCCGAAGGCGGGATGAAGGTAGACGAACCTCTAAAACATGGCAGGCTAAATATGATCAGCAATCTGCAAAGGTGCAACTCGTTGTCAGAAACGTCGAAAAAAAAAATACTCGAGGACCCTCCCATGGAGGAGGAAACCAGGAGGAAGACACTGAGCCCAGTGGTCCACGAATTAATCGAAGCACTAGAAAATGCGGAAAGACAAACCAATAAACTGAGAGAGCTGGTAGCGGACTGCCCGAGTACCAGAAGAGACATTAAAGAAATCGTACAGAAAATCACAAGAAACACAGAAATATTTAAACGAGAATCGATAAAAACATGGCTACAACAGAACAAATACGAAAAAACGCAAAACATGACATATGACACAGAAACCCAAACCGAATGGAAATGCAACAAGCAATTTAAAGACGCAGAAACACAGACAATAACGCAATTCTCCGAAAATACGGTCCAAAGTCTGGAATGGATAGATGACCTAGACACTTTTAAGACGGCGGAAAAAATGAAATGGGAAGAAAATCTTTACCTAAACACAGAAATTACGGTCGGAAACCCAACGACCGACAACGAACAAATCGCAAAAGTAGTGTTTGTGGAACCGGATGATCAGGATATGACGGTGGGCATACAGAAGCTCTACAAAGAAAGGGTCCCGGAAATTGCGGATACAGACGAGGATTGGGACATATTAGAGCTCACAAGTAGGATAAGGTCGAAACAGACGAGCGAAACGAGGAAAAAGAAAATTGTGCGGGCTAAGATTGACGGCACTTTAGAAGATTTGGAGATTAAACTCAGGAGGATACTAGAGGAGGTAAAGGACGATAGGCAAGTTGCACTACATCAACTAAGAGCTGTCGAGTTAGAAACCCTGAAGAAAATGACGGAATGGATCTTCCACAAGTCTGAAGTGAGGGTAAAGATCTATATTACCAACAAGGAGGCAGAAAGGCAAAAAAAAATCGGAGAAAATAAACAGAGATCCACATATGCCCTCATAATTGACGGTAAAGAAAAAACATACAGCGAAGTGCTAAATAAAGTTAAAAACCTAGTCGGAAAGGACCCTTCAACAAAAGCTATTCGAAGTGTAAAAAGCACTAGGGACAACAAGCTTATCATTACAACGGACAGGGACGAGCAAGCGTTCAAAAAGATACATGACATGATCAAGGAAGACGAAAGTGTCACCGTCAGAAGAAGAACGAGTAGAGCGACAACGATGCATATAAGAGGGATGGACGCAAATATCACAAGACAAGAGGTACTAGACGAAATAAACAGAAATGTCGGTTAGAAAGAGGGGATTGATACTGCCAGCGAGCTACGACCAAATGCAAAAAGCACACAAGCTATAACGGTAACAATCGAATCAGATAGAGCCCAGACATTGCTTAAGGAGGGATACATGCAAATAGGCATCGCGCGAAGCAGAGTCGAGGAAAAGTTCGTGATAAGAAGATGCAATAAGTGCTGGTCCTATGAGCACCGGACGGACGACTGCACAGGTCAGGATAGAGGAAATACGTGTTTCAAGTGTGGGGAAAAGGACCACGCTGCTCGAGAATGCAAAAAAGTGTCCTGTGCTTTGTGTAATTCAAACGAGCATATGTTTGGTACGGTTAAGTGTGAAAAGTTCCGAGAAGCGCTGTTCAGAGCAAGGGGAAAGATAACGAGGACTTTTTCGAATACGTCGGCAAAAACGAGTATCACGGATGCAAGTGAATTTACGTACCCCAGAAGGGCGGAAAAACGGAACTTATCCGAAGCCAGCTGTAGGGAACCGAAGTTGGAAGTAAAAACCAGCAACAGATACCAAGTGCTCATGAAGGATTCAAACACCGAAAAGGAAGTCGTAAGTACCGAAACCATAAAACAATAATGAGGATACTACAGACAAATCTCGGACGATCAAAGACTGCACATAATATCGTGGCGGAAATAGCTGATAGGAAACAAATAGATCTAGTCATAGTAAGTGAACCAAATTTATCAATAGCTAGTAAGAAGGGATGGGTAATAGACAAAAAAAAGTGGTGGCAATATACACTGTGTTATTTATAAGATGCGACATAGGGATTCCTGTACAAATGTGTCAAAAGCAAGCTAACTTTTTTACCAAATAACGTTCATAAAAAATAATAACAGATTTGAAAAGATCGTAAAAAAATAAGTCGAAATGGACATTACATTTTCTTAAATTCGTTCTGGTTTATTAAAAAATTGTATAATTAAGTTGAAAAAGTCATCCGTCATAAATAATTCCTTTTTATATCACTATTAAATAAATGTAAAAAGGGGCGGAGCTAACAGGGTTGGTTAACGCTCTGCAATTTGAATAATTAATTTTTAAGTAATGTGGTTCAAACCGCGCTTGGGGCAAAGTTTTTTTTTGTTTTTTTTTCGTTTTTTTAATGTTTTTGTCTAAAAAAATGTTAAATAAAAGTATTTAAAATAAGACAAGCTTATTTGAGATTTAATTTAATTTTTATTTCAATATAAGCTCCGACAATTAATTGTCAATTTTGATAATGCAAAATCTCGTTAGTAAGTAGAGCCTTTAAATAAATGCCATATTTTTATTAATGACAAAAAAACATTTAAAAAAACAAAAATACCAAAAAAAACAGAAAAAAAATTCCGCACTCGCGGTTTGAACCACAATCCTTCCGAAGAAATATTCCGAAAGCCTCGGACATACCAAGAAAGGCGATACTCCAGGACAGCTAATTAATATCGTTAAGAAAGCTCTAAAACAATCAACGATAACAAACAGGAACACAGATCGCCCTGTTCCCTACTGGTGGACGGAAGAAATCTACGAACAGAAAAACAAATGCTTAAAAACTAGAAAACAGATGACTAGGACTAGGTCAAAAGGAGACATGGAAGCTACAGATCTATTAGAAAGAGAATTCAAAGAACAAAAAAGAGAACTGAAGAAGATGATAAACCGGAATCAGCGTAAATGCTGGAAAAACCTGATCCAAGATCTAGACGAGGACATATGGGGACAAGGCTACGCCATCGCAGTCAAATTCCTAAAGCCTACAGCACCGTACACATTACCAACAAGTAGGAAACTGGAAATCGCGAAAGACCTCTTCCCACAGGTAAGAGACAGTTTCGGGAAAATAGGAGCAGGTGGAAAAATAACGCCATTTAGCATGGAAGAACTAAGCGAAGTAAAGAAAAAATTAAAAACGAATAAGGCACCAGGACCCGACGGGCTCCCTCCAGAAATAGTGAAACAGACGATTGAATTAAAACCGGAAATGGTCCTGAAGGTAATGAATGAACTACTCGAAAAAAAGGAATTTCCGGAGATCTGGAAAACCGCTAAATTGGTGTTAATATTAAAACCACAAAAACCGATAGAGTCAGCGAAATCGTTTAGACCGATATGTCTGATGGACGTGTTTGGTAAGGTGTACGAAGCACTAATAAAGTCAAGGATAGAGACAACGGTAGAGGAAGTAGGATTATCAGACCAGCAGTTTGGATTTAGAAAAGGAAGGTCAACTATACAGGCTGTCAGCTGGGTAGTTGACAAAGTAAATTCCTCGAATAGAAAATGGGCGGTACTTATTACACTGGACATAAAAAATGCCTTTAATTCCGTAAAATGGAGCCTAATATTGAAAGCACTGAAAGAAAAAAGTATTAACCAGCATTTATTGGCTATAATAGAAGATTACTTTACAAAGAGAAAAATAAAGATAGATTCAAACGAGACATTAGAAGTA